CTCTCCTCTCTCTCTTTTTTTAGAAAAAAGACAAAAACTGATTTTCTTGGAAAAAAAAAAAAAGAACTGTTCTTTCTAGAATGGCTTTGCCCATTTAAAAATGTGGCTCTTAAGGGTTCATGAAATGACTGATATGAGGATACACGTCCTGTAGAAAGCAAATGCGCCTCATATACTGCCAAAAATAGTGTTAGTTTCATTAATGTGAATTTTCCAGCATTCAGTAGTTGTAATGTTAGAAACAATTGCTGGTCAAGTTCGACTTGTTGCTATTGTTTTTAATTTGCACAGGAGTAGTATCAGAAATTAGTGTCACTGCTTGTATCTAGCTGAATTTTAAACAACAGAACATTAGTTTTTTATGTTGGTGCCACCAACTGTAAATGACATTAGTTATTACAAAACACAGTAATTAGACTGTTGCAACCATCTAAAACCTTAGGCTTCCAGTCTGTGCTGTTAGTGTTAAGATGTAAAGTGCAATCCTAAGCTAACATTATCTGTGCAAGCACCATAGAAACATTTGCATATCTGCATAAATCTTACAACTGTACTCTTTACCTCCTTGTGATAAAGCTTTGTCTACCTGCAAACACAGTCAAAGGCTACAGCTGCAAACCAAAGCCAACTCTAACCATGGCCAAGAGCTCAAGGACAGAAGCAGCCACATGCTTTGGTCAGCCTTCTGTAACTTCAATTAGTACAAAGGAACCTTTTCCATGAACTACCTGCTGTTTTCTGATGACCTCTGGGATCTTTTCATTTAGCCCTAAACAAAGAAACAAATATGACAAAAAACACAACTAAAAAAGTTAATTCAGTCACAGAGTAATCTTCTGAGGCCAAAAGTCCATCTAAATACAGTGAAGATTTGCTTTCATTAAAGACAGAGGTGAGGACAAAATCCGCAGTGGAAGTGATGATATGCTAGAAAGCAACAAATGTGGATCACTGACCAAAACGATTATGTACTTGATGCAAATGCAGATTGCATATTGTTATATATATATAGTACATTGTGTTTTTGTTTTCTTCCATTCAGTCAGTTATTTTCAGTGGTGAGTGTATGTTGCTAGAAGATGTCTTGTATGGTCTTAATCTTTGTTGTGTACTATTTTTTATAGTCTTAAGTTATAATGAAAAAAACAAAAAGTAGGAACCAAACATAAAAGGTCTAGTAAAGCCAAAAATTAATTTCATATTGATTTTAAAGTGATCTAGCTGAGTTTTTACACTGAAAGCAAAGATTATAGCAATTGTAGTCCATGGTATTTATTTTCAGTCAAACCAAAGTTACATATAATTCTGCCTCTGCTTATACGGGATATTAACACTAACAATACACTCCCTTCAAAGACTTGCGCAGGCCAAATTGTTGGAATGCTGGTTTTCTTGACAACTCCAAACCCCAAAACTATGATAATGCATTATGGTGTAGTTGAAGATAGCATAGTCAGATGTTTGCTTAAAACCTAGAAACTTTACATGTTGCTTTTCATGTGCTGTGCCAAGTCTTGATAATACTTTCTCCCCCAACCAAGGGACCTCATAACCTGACTATGGTTATTGCTTTACAAACAGTTTTGACAGAAGGTGGCTGCTAGAGCTTAACATACGTACCAGTTCCGTGTGATGGAGCTGGTTCCTGCAAACTAAGCTCATCATTTATTCTTTGCTGAAGTCAGCAAATAGAGTTAGAGAGATACCCAGTCATCTATCACACCAAATAAAAGGACATAACGGCTTTCAAAAGGGTTTTCCCACTTACCCAAAAGGCTTTCTGAAAGCTTCTACCTCTGCTTAAAAAAAAAAGAAAAAAAAAGAAAAAAAAGAAAAAAAAAGAAAAAAATTAGAACAATTATGGCAGATTGCATGAAACGTGAGAACGTCACCGTAACTGCTACTTTTCATTATGTTTGTCTTTGGGTCAGGATCAACGAACTGGAAGTTTACAGTATGGCATCAAAAGAAAGAGTGGTACTGTGAAGGATGGTTTTCAGTCATCTAGGATCCTACTGTAAGGATTATCTGAAAGGGAAAATGGGTCTTTCAGGTACTGGAAGTAACTGTGAGAGGTGTACCATCAGGAGGGTGGCCTAAGACTACAATGCTAAAGTATGCATACCTCAGTTACAAAACTTTTGAAAGGAAGTCTCAGCCACAGAATGCATATACCTGTAGAGTTTTGCATGGGTTTTATATGAATACAATTTTAAAAAATAGCTGCTTGCACATTATACCAGAAAAACCTCCAAAACTGCAATTGCTTTGAAAATAGATTTTAGGTTTTTTGGAGTTTTCTGAAATGCTTGGTCTGTATTTTGATAATTGTGCATATTATGTAAAAATGTTGGTGGACCCATAAATGACCAGACTTTTTCTAAGAAAAATGTTGCTTTAATGCATTTCATGAATTTTTACTCTTATATCATTGCTTGCTAGTAATAGCAAATCTGCTTTTCTGCATCTGCTTTGCGTAGCTATTGTAAGGCTTTGAACTAATGTATGTATTTATTGCTTGAACTTCTGTGCATACCTTATAAAGCATAATGTCTGACAATTTAAATGGCTCATGTATTCTTGCTTCTATCATAAGCTGATTATGAGGACTATGATCTTTTGTATACAGCAAATTTTAACTGTAGCACAAACATCTGTTTATGTATTGGTGGAATATACCTGTTTTATTTATCTTTTCTGAGGTAAACTAATTTTTGATACTTTTCATTACTGTGTACTATGTTCATACTTTGAATTCTCTGACGTTAGGAGTCATGGTTGAGAATTGTAACAGCTGTTATTTGTTCTGTATTCATGGCTTTCACTGCTGAATAAAATAAAGGACCAAACCTAGGATTTGAAAGAAAACTGTCTACCTCTAACACCAGGGAGTTATCAGATTTTATTTTACATAGTTTTAGTCTACAAAGACACAATTGCTTAAACCTAGTGGGCTTAAGGCTTATATTCTATGTGGTTGGATTCATGGTACAGTTGTACTATTTGAAAATCAATTAAAATTTTATGTGAACGTTACAAGTATTTGGTAGAATTACCACTAACTAGGTTTTCTTTAAATAACTCAGATATGGAGAAAATATCAGCATTCTGTGTCTACGGCTGCTTAACTTCATAAGAATGCATTTTTTGTGTGATTATGGAATCGAAGAATATAGTCAGCTAGGAATAGAGCTACAGAAGTACACTTAAAATAAACCATCCTGGACTTTAATGTCCCTGGGCAGATTCAGTCTCAAAAATCCAATAAACCATTTCGTAAAGTTTTCAAATTGGGCATTTACATTTTTGAGAATTTCTGAGACTTCATCTTACATGTGCCGATATTAACACATATTTGGACAATAGCTTTATTAATGCCATTAAGCTATTGAAAAGAACATGGCTTATCTTGTTATTTCACTAGTTTAGGTTGCAATGAAAGGGATTTTTTTTTTTGTACATGAACACTTGGCAAATCTTAGCAAAAAAGAAAGATGTACATTTTACTATAGAATTAATGTATGAACAGTATGTCACTATTGTTGGATGTAAAAATGTATATGAAACCATTTCATTCACTTGGTTACATTTCTGAAGTATAAATAAAAAAAATCTAATTCTTTTTGACCCATTTATAACCACTAGGATTCTATTCTTTTGGAGAGACTATTCTTCCACACCAGAGCCAAGTCATAAATTTGTGTACATATGTCCCACACTTTGTTTAAAATCATTTTCTTAGAAATTGGGGATTCATAAAAGAGACCATGCTCAATAAAGACAGAGGCTGTTTATCAAATGCCATTGCATTAAACACTATTTTCAGGTTCACAAGATCATCTCATGCTCTTTTATTTTTTAATCCAGTAGAATTTTGTATCATAAATCTTGAATCTTAAAAATTTCCAGTGGTAACATGACTACTCTCTTTTACTATATGATTTTTTTTTGCTTGATTATCTTTTCTTCCCCTTCAAATATCTGTCATACCCATGGCATCCTGCCATTGTGTAGGGAAAAGTATAAGATTAGTAGCTTTCCAAATGAATGCTTTTTAGGCTACTGAGGATCTTTTTCAGAACTGTATCAGTGACAAAAACAAGAAGGAGAGTACCTCTGTAGAGGAAAGGATGCCTTTTTCTTTAACCTCCATAAGTATTCCTAAATCTGTCATAATCGGGAGCAGAAGGAAAATGAATATGTTGAGTATATTTTTATTTTATGCATAATTTAATATTTTCTGTCATTCTAGTGAAAGGGTACCTTGACTAAAGAGCTTTCCATGGTATAAAATATTGTTCTAAAAGAAATGTGAACATGAGATTAATTTTCTTGAATCTTAGAATTCATTTTTTCACTATTGATTAGCTGAAAGTAAATGAATATTAACTTCCCCTGTCCAGTGTATTTTGTTATCTTACCAAGGGCTGTATAATAAGATGCGAATCCAGTTCTGGCATTTTCTATATTTTAATATAGGAAGAATGATTTCTAGATTAAAACTAATGGTTTAAGAAAGAAGCAACTCTGGTGTGGCAAATATTTTTTACTTAAACCTAAATTTAAACTCACTTTGTCCTATAGTTTTAAACATGTTCTCCACATATATTTTGTTGGGTCAGTGGAGGATTCAGCTGCTTTGTAAAAAACTGATTACTCCATTACTTTCGAATTTTTAAAAAGATGGAAGAAAGATGTCAACTTAAAATCTAACTGCAGTGACTAGAAATATGGTATAGGTGCCACATCACATTTCTAGCAATTTTTCTGGGTGAGAAAGAATAAAAGTGAAGCAGCCAAGTCTTTACTATTTCTGATCTCTTACAAACTGATATTTTGACAAATTCTGACATGAAAATGCTAGTGAAAGAAAAGAATCTAAGCTACATATTCAGTTTTTTAACTGCACAGAAAAATTTTTAAACACTAGTTATAAAATTGCTTCAAAAGAATATGTGATTTGAGAAAATAAAATGTGGCTTCAGTTACAATTTGACATA